TAATATGTGTAAATTTTCCACCATCTCTTCTACTACTTTTTCGCCCAAGCAATGAGATAGAAATCCTTGAGGAAAAATGACGTAGGTACGCTACCATGTTCATCGTTTCTAAATTTATATTTTTTTAAAAATATACATAACAATTAGTGTAAATTTTTCACCATCTCTTCTACTATTTTTTCACACGAGCAATGAGATAAAAACCCTATACTAGAGGAAAAATGACGTAGGCACGCTACCATGTTCGTTATTTCTAAATTTGTTTTTTTTAAATATATATGTACAATGTGTGTAAATTTTTCACCATCTCTTCAACTATTTTTTACACTAGCAATGAGATAGAAACGCTTGAGAAGGAATGACGCAGGCACGCTACTATTAACAGATACGAGTGAATCACTTACACGAACGCGACTACTTGACAAGCGCCAATATACGTGGTTATAGATCAACCTGCAAATCCAGCAGACGGCAAATATTTGAACAACTACTAAAATAATGGATTAGGGAAAAAATACCTGTAATTTTATTACATATATTTATAACTGCAATCAAAATTTATGGCTGGCTTCTAAAACGACGTGGCTCTACAGATGGCAACCCATTGTTGTCCTATTTCTATGTGATGATATACAATTTCTGTTATGCTGATGATTTTTTTATGGAAGCAGCAATATCGGCGGAAAGATATCTTCACTCGACAACGTATTGCTATCTATATTTTCAAGAAAAAAACCAATGCCATTGCTGCTTGACATCAGGCTGTCCGAGGCTTGTATCGATCCTGAAACCTTTGGGCAATAAAAAGACCATACCTGAAATTTGAAAAAAGTAAATTAAATTTCATAATTTATAAAATTCATCGCTTTATTATATTGAAAAAAAATCTAAGTTTATGAATTTTTAAAATAAATTGCTGCTTTTAAAAATCATGGTAAGTAAAAGCCATTGTAAACAGTTAAATAAAAGTGATATTAACAAATGTCTTAATACATGTCTTAACTTACTTGAATAAGAAATGCGAGATCTCCAGCTGCATTCGGAAAATTCATCAACTAAATCGGGCTATTGCCACTTCTACATTTTTCCATAAGGGCAATTATCAGATTTTATGATTCTTAAACTAAATCCAGGAATCGATTATTAGTACAATTAGATTTGATAGTTTTGGCTTATTATTGATTTCTGAAAATAAATTTGCACATAATGTTAGTAATTATAATATTTGAGATAAAAAATTGTTTCCCTTTGCAAAAGATTGCAAAAAGCTTTGCAACTGCTTTAGAATGTAAAACACCCGGGTAGGAGTGAGATTTATTCGGAAGACAAAAATCAACGTCAATGGTTAACCACTATCAAATACGAATGGCTATATTTGTTAAATATATTTTAATAAATTTATTTATTAAAAATAAATTATGGTATAAATGTATAAAATGTATTGAAAATATTATCAGTTAAGTTGTCAGGAATTTATTGCCATTGTACTATTGCCCAGGTCAACTCGAATTGCTACATATTTGAGAAGACTTGCATACAACTGCAAAATTAATACATAATTAAAATATATATTTCCGAAGAACCTACGCCAAGCTTTGCAGATGTACATTTTGTGAGGATCTGCAATAGAAAAGGATATTTAAAGTGATTTGGTTAATGTGATTGAATCGAAATTTGCTAAAGACAATGCGATTGTGCTCATAGACAATATAAAGTCTGTTATCATAAATTAATAACGCATAAATAGTCTTTAATTATAAATACAGTCTCGATAATTTTTTTGGTTTGAATCTGCACAAATGATTTGATCAAAAGTGCTAGTACCTATACTTAATAAAATAAAATTTCAAATTGTCTAAAATAATAAAACCCACAATTCATTAGGATTTGTATTTGCGTGGCATAGAAAAAAATACTTCGTATAATATTTAAATATGCTGATTTGTAAATCATATATCGTCCCATTTTGAATGTCTTTTGAATGTCAAATTCATAACAAAAATTTTCAATAGCATTAGTTGATTGTATTCGTTCGGTGGCCGCTGACGGTTGAAAATTTCTAATAAGCGACATTCCAAATACTTTCGAGTTTCCTATTTCAACAAGACTGCTTCCATGGGAATGCCAGTTTGCTTTGCAATTAACACAATGCAAACAGACCTCTTACATCCTGTTCGTCATCTGCAAGAATAGGAGAAGATTAGAAAGCACACGAAAATCATACTCCATCATCATACGGAATCTTGATGTAAAAAAAAGTTTACGACTGAAATCTCTCCGCCAAAAAAAAAAAAATGAAACAGGTCCAATTGTTAATAAATTTTATTTTAGTTTGAATATATATTGTTTAACATAAGTAGGCATCAAAGAAAATTAGTTGATACGCTTAAAGCTAATAAAATTCTTATACGTAAAATTTTACCAGCAACCTAGTAGAAGCATGTTAAATCTTAAATTGTATTTTTTAAATATTTATTTAGAAGAAATTGTCAAAATATCATAAAAATATCATTGGAATAAAAAAACGCAGTAAATCTCAATTGTACAAATAAAAAATTTAGTATATTGCAAGAGAATTATTTTCTCGTAAGTCTCATCATCTTGGTAAAATGATAAAATCGATGTCTTAACTTAGTTTTAACTAAAACTAATTTTAAATCATAATTTCTTTTTTTTTTCAAAAAGCGTTAGAAAATATTTATATACTTAAATTACCCTTATCAAATAACATGAGTATTTCAAAAATATTAGTTATCCAATTTCTACTTAATTCGTTCCAGCACCAAGGATATTTTTCATATTTTTTTCGATTCGCCAATTCACGTCCTGTTAGGAACTCAATAATTAACTCACATTTTGTGCCAAAATTTGAAACAGTTTGACTCGTTTTTATCGAATTAAGTCCATTTTGCTTGCTACAAAAAAATTCGACGTAATTCAATATTATCAAGTATTGCTACAGCTTAAGTTAATTACTATGTAATTTATTTTGACTGGGCATACACTTATAATACAGCAGACGTCATAAATAAAAACCGTAAATGAGAAAATTGTATAGATTTAATGTTGACCTTGAAAACTAACTGGATATCTAAATATCATATACATATAACCAGATATACATGTTCTGCAAATAACAATCACAATTTCAAGGCTGTAGGCTTAATTTATAAATTAGGGCCGATTTGCAGAAATGCTTGTTAAAGAACTGTTAAAAGCTATCAATATTTAATGTGAAGGCACTTATGTAAACGTCTGCGGAGGTATATATTGTTGCTACGAACTATACGGATATAATATTTATATAAGCATAAAAAAATCTTAAACGGTATATATATTTATATAAAAAAAGGACTCTGCTGTGAATAGCACAGCTCTACTGAATATGTATAAAACTACTAGTTTATGTATAATTATGTATAATATCGAAGGCACATTTCATCAGATAAATATAAAAGACTATCATAGATATTTATAGGCAACTAAGATCTATTGCATTTGAAGGGTCGAGTCTTAAGGAGTAAATGCGTCAGCGAACATCCATCAAGAATAAAACATCCAAGATTTTCGAGAGCTTTGGCAATAAAATAATAAAAAAAATAAAATATTTAGTAAACACGTCCAAATATATGAAACAAAATTTGAGAAACAAAAAATTGTTTGAAAACTCTTGAATTCGAATCATTCATCCCGATGTTTTCTGATTGACGTCTTCATCAGACGAAGCGATAAAATTATGCTGGTCGAATTTTATGTACATTTTTTAATGAATTGGACACCGAAAGTATGACTGTACATTTATATCAATTTCTCTAGAACTTTCTTATATGTATAACAATGTATACATTATAAAATATTTAATGTAGTATAATTTTATTGCTCCGCCTTATAAAGCTAATGAGTCAAGTAATTATAATATTGATATGTACAAAAGAACTATGAGTATATTTATATTTGGGTAGGAAGTCGAGGTCGCAATATGTTTATATATATATATATATATATATATATATATATATATATATAGAAACATATATGTGTGTGTGGTAGTGTGTGTAGCTTATTTACAACGTAATATAATCCGGTTTTAAAATTGTGAGTAATTATTAAATTCATTAATCGTCTTCGTACGCTGTCTATAACAATATGTTTCCCTACAAACTAATTTTTTACATACTACAAATTAGTATAACTACAAAAATAATGGAATAAAAATACTATATACTAGACATATACATTATCGTAATTATAAAGGTAATCACAACAAAATTAGCAGCTGTCGCCCTGATAAATAGTTCACGTTTGACACAGAAGAATATTATGGAATCACTTTAAATAAACATTATGTACAATTATTTTTATATAAATTTATATGTCGTTTTTAAGCCAATGCATGATTTTATCAGGCGACAAGGCGGGGAACGATTTTGACTTTTTAGAATTGGAATGGCTTTTTATTCTGACGAAACTAACAATAATTTTTAACAGCATTATTAGAATTTCAATAATAGAATATGCAACATCAAAATGCATCATCAACAATATTAATATAAATTTAAATTATGTCTAATTAAATAATCTCTAAACATTATGCAGTTATAACATATCTTAGGAAGAACTGATAATGAAGTTTACACTTCTAAGTAAACCCTGACGGCAATTCATTTGAACCAATGAGTATATTATTGACCAAAAAGTTTCATGATTAACAGAACAAAACGTCTTTTATAATATATTTAGCATATCATTGTTATCATATGTGCATAATAAAGCCTAATAATTGTAAATCTACTTATGAGCATTTCTTCTATAAATATCTAAATTGGTGCTTTACATGATATATATATATATATATATATATATATACATGCACAAGAATATCAAGTAATAAAGTATAATTGAGAAATATCAAAGTTACTATAAATATAGAGTGAATATAAAAATCTCAAATAAAATATTTTCTTGACTAAATGGAATTATATTGAATATAAACTGGCAGTATATAAAAGTTTTATCTATCATAGGAACGGCAATATGACACGTGATAATTTATCACGTATTCAAAGCCATATTGTGTTGTAAATCGACGAGTAATCATAACAGTCGGATAAAATACCTGAGTTGAAAATAAACTAAATGAGGATTCTAAGCGAATAAAAAACACTGATTAGAACTTCTTAAACAATAATCAACCGAAATTAGGTCACCATACCTATTCCAAGCAAACGACAATAAACAAATAATTTGCTTCTGAATAATAAACAGATTTCAACAGAAAGCCACTAACTTAACACGGGCATTCATAATGATATGTGCAATTGAAGGTTTATCTGAATCATTAGAACAGAAACAAATTGTCTATTCGCTACTGTTGTCCATTCGAGGAAGCGTTCTGTTGTTGCATTTGCATTTGTTCATAATTGAACGCCTTATTATCTTCCTCAATTTTAATAAACTTCTCTTTATGCATTCGTTCCATATGCCTTCCTATATGCATTTTCTGTTTGGCCCGATACACACAGTATGGACATTGGAATTGAGGTTCCTTACCGCACTCCCATTTTTGATGGTTTCTTAGCGACGACTTTAATTTGTACATCCTTCCGCAGTCTGGACAAGAAAAACCAGGAGTCATCGCATTCGTAGGCTGAGAGACAGACAAATCTCTAGGCAACATCAGGGGCAGTGAACCTTCACGCAACTGCGTTATCAGAGGTAAAGCCAATCTTGCCGACCACTGGTCCCAGCTCAATCCGGCAATGCGAGTAATACTCAAATCTTCAGCTGCAATTAAAAACAAAAAGGCCAATAAGGGCCACGAATTAATTGGAAATAATTTTGAAACTTTGGTAAATTTCACTACTACTAACGTTGTGATCCAAAAGATAATAACCAAACTCCTGAATACGTAAAATTAACCATGCAATCAGAAATAAAAATCATGGCAAGTTAAATACAAGCTGTTGAAACCAATGATACACTGCAAGACGGAGCCATCACACTTTTGTTGAAATCAGAACAATTTTTTGCGATGGCTATCATCTTTTGTATTAATATACTTCAAACTTCATGCAGAAAGCGCAATCTCTTTCATCCAATTACTTGGCAGCAATTTATCACAGAATTATATACAACTCTAAGATTCGTGATTATTTTATTTGGATACAAAACTATTTTTCTAAAATAAACATGATTCTTAGAGCAATCGTTAAACCAAACGAAGTTTGACAAATATCAATAAGTGTATAAAATAAAACATCGATGTGCATAATTTTTTATTACAAAATATACTAAAAAAAACAAAGTTAATAGAACAAATAATAATAAAACAAATAATTACAAACTAGCAATCACATGTTTACTTCCATTATATGGCGCGTATAGTTCCATAAAGTTAGATACCTTCAAACATACTTTAAAGTCAAAAATTGGAGTCTTTAGATAGATAATAAATCCAAACAGGAGCCACGTTAATTTGTCATGTCCACCAGGAAACCTGAAAAAGAAAAACATTGAATTAGTGTGATATTAGAGAAAAAACTACAACTAAAAATATACTTATCTTGAATTCTCTATTAATGATAGCATGATTATTTATTTAGATAAGTACCTCTGCAGCAATCTATAAACATGAATAACTCTGAAAAATAAAAACAAATAAAAAGTTAATAGCAATTTTGAGGTCATGTGTTCAAGTCAAACCCATTTTCAAATCAAAATCAGAAATCATTATAAAAAACATATAGAAAACAACAACTCAAAAATTCAACTGAACTGAAAGATGACAAATTAATTTCATTACATTTATTTTAGTATACTATAAAATAAACATATCTTCTTATTCTGTAAACTATATAATAACTAACACAATAACATCTAAATGAAAATTAAATGTAATTAACAAAAAACCGAACCATAATTACTATTAAATGATTGTCGATAACTAAACAATTCATTGCTTAAATAAATCCAGCACCAGTTTTAAATGAACAATATGAATACAGTGATTATATATATATATAATATATATATAAATATATATATATAATAATATATATAGAGATATATATATATATAATATATAAATAGATAATATATCTATATATTTATAATTTAAATATATATATCTTAGATTATATATATATATATATATATATATAATATATATATATTAAATCGTTTTAACTATTTAACAATGGTATGTCAATTATATTCTAATAATATATTTTTACTATCTTACTTATAAATTTGCGCACAAAATATATTATTTCATTTGTTCTGTTTCATAAACTTTAAATGATCTAAATATATTAATAATATAAAATATAATAGTATATAATAATCTTCAAAATCTCTATAAATTCATTATAATTTCTAAATATTGCTTATAAACAAATATCTAGTTGGAAGTTTTCATATATAGGATATAGTTATTCTAGGCCTAAATAATTTCAACAAAATTCTTTTTTATATAATTTTTTTTTTTAATATTTTTATATGAGTAATAAATGTAATAATATACTCGTCAGTCAAAGGAAACGAAGAAGAAACTTTCTTTGAAATATTATTTAAATATATCTATACTCGTATAGTACTCGATATTATAAGTTAATTTGCTAAAATAGTTTAGCAATTATAGATAACTTTGAATACTTTGGTATTATGTTATTAATTACATAGGTCAAATTTTATTCACTATGATGATTGAACAGCAATACTTAATATAAATATATTGCATAAAAGTTATTTGGTTATTGCTTTAAACTTTACAAATGCTTGTACATAAAAATAGCACATTTTTTAACCTAATCCTAAAGGATTTTAACAAAATATAGCTTCTTTAAAAATATATTATGCGTTATCGACATGTTATTGTCTCATGCACCATTTCATTTATATAAACCAATTATATATGTAATTATTTACTAATGTTAACTGCAATCCTGTTGCAAATATTTTATCATTTATAGGCACTTGGGTGCAAATGTTAACAAAGGCTCTTAATAATTTCTTAAAAGAGCGAAGGAATTATTCTAAGGCACAATTTACAAATTATCTAATTAATATATTATAATTCATTTCCGATCTAAATTAGCCTGACTCTATGTTGTGGATAATAATATTCAACTATTACGATTCATACGAGGAGATGTTAAACTTTTATCATGGTGTTTGCGTACATGGACACCTAAATTACCGCGTTGTTTTGCTTTATAAGGGCAATAAGGGCACTGATGAGATGGCTCTTTTCCTCCGCATTCAACGTTTTCGTGCCTTCTCAAAGTGCTCTTCCATCTATATCTACCGCAATGTCTGCATACAAATTTGGCCTCCACATTTTGGTCACCGTCGCCTACAAGTTGCGGTAATATGATAGATGCTAACGCAGTTTGAAGAGCAGGATGCTGCAGATTCTTAACGTCTTCATCTTTAGATGAAAACGTCAGAATGGGTTGGTCAGGTGGTAAGGCTATCTCACTTTCGTCCGGCAATTCGATGTCATCAAAATCGTCATAAAACACTTGTTCGTCATCTGAAGACTGTTCTTGCAGAACAGTCACAACTTTGGCAGTTGCATCTGGGTCTACTTTGGCGTTACTGATATCTTCTGGTATCGAAGCTTCCTGAATTGGAGTTGCTGCTACTTCAGGAATGTTTTTATTTTGTTTGAAGCGACGGGAGTACTTGACGATTGGCTTCGTTCCACTTTGATCACCGGCCTTCTTTCCACGTTTTTCACTACCTCTGGTTGAACGAGCTCCACCTGCTGATTGAAAAACTAGTGAGGTTAGAACAATTTGATTTATATTTATTCATAACATATAAAAGTGTCCTGTACCAGAACTGTGCTCCCAAGAAGACATGTGCACGAATGAGAATTACAAAGAAAAAAGTGCATTTCTAGGTGGTTGTTGTGCGTTTCGGGTACACATATGATGAGTTATGACAAGAAGAAATAATTTGATATCAATTATAAATAATTTCTAATGAAATTTAAAAAAAGAAACAAATGTAATAAAAAAAAGTCCAAAAAGCAGAAAATATAAAAATTGATATCAAATCATATGAAATAAGCATAACATTAAACACATAAAGACAAGTGAAGAAGAACAAAATAAAACGTCAAAACTGTCAAAATAATATTTATTAACAAATTATATCCATCAAAATTTAATAAAATAAAAATCTGTATTCATAAACTTCATAAACTTACTAAAAAAATGATATCTTGAGAAATGATTCTGAAAAATCTGTAAAAACCATAATCAGCACATTCATTTTCAGCGAGATTCTGAAACAGGAAGAAAAGTTAGTAAATATCTGTCCTAATTTTTTAAGTACTTTACCTCAGAATACTAGAAAAAAATTGACTATAATAATTATAATTGAAAAATTATTGTCCATTATAATATAATTTAATTCATCACAGGTTAATATCAACATTACATATTATATTCTTAGTTATAACTAAGTGTTAGTTATAACAAAGATCAAATTAATAAAATATATTTATTTATAGTACAAAATCCTTATTATCAAGTCTTTTAATAGAAATTTTAATCAAATATATATTATCAGATAACAGTTTCTTAATAATCTCACTAAAATTAACCGAAAAGATAGCAATATATCTTTTCATCAAAATCAATAGTATCATGAATGTAATTTTGTAAATATGAAAACACAATACTATTTTCTGCACTAACAAGTGACGTTGAAGTTAGAAAAGTTGGGAAAATAAGGTTTGTCTGATTTGCAAGAAAAAAAAAAGTTTTATTCTATTTCTTACAGCACAGACTCCGAAAGTTTGGAACTTTCACATCAATTAATAGGTCGTACCAAAAATAGTAGGGTGTCATATTAATATAAAAATTATGTAAGTGTACATATAATATATATGATTAATAAACAATTTAATAATATTAATAATCAAAAATTTGTTAAATGCTAAGAATAAAATATTGGCAAATAAAGTTTAATTTTTTTATATCACAATCAGTAAATCTTAAAGATTTAGTTAAGCCAAATTATAAACGCCATAACCATGCTCATAGCACCGTTTACCATCATGGGCAACTTGTTTAAACATTTCTGCAAGAAAATTGTTAAATGCTCATTATTATATCTACCAGCACGCAAGTTGTGATAGGTTTAAAAAGGAGTTTTGATCATAATTTACTATATTCTATTTAGAATCAGGACGGCCTGGTTTATCTCTTGCACTCGGCAGAGACATATTCAAGGGCACATCGTAGGTCTGAATCGCATCAGGCGGCGTCATTATCACACCTGTTGGCTGGTGATACATACTGTCTGTTTGATGTCTGTATCTTATATGTTGATACAAATTACTTTTTAATTTGCTGCGATGTGGGCAATGTGGACATTGAAACCTCGGTTCTTTGCCGCATTCTAGAGTCATATGCCTCTTGAGAGAAGACGAGTGGTTGTACTTTCTGCCGCAGCGGGCGCACTCGTGCTCTGGTGCGGTAGTTGCTGCACCAGAGGCTGGTAGGATGGTTTTGGAAGATAACGGATAATTATATATATAAGGTGCGGCTGGTGGGCTCAGTGCAGTCAGGTTCGGAAACATCAGATTGAAGTTCCTGGACAGACCCAACAATGCATCTGAAACAGAACATATATATCTTGTTAGTAAATTATTGAAGTTAAATATGAATTCCAATTTCGCGCCGATTTATGAAGTCGTTGTCGCTAATTCTAGCTAAAGGTAATCCTAGATTTGAATTTTGAGACATACCATTAACTGCAAAGATAAAGGGATAATGTATATTATTTTAAATTAATTGAAAACCTAATATATTAGACATTAGTGATTATTGTATACACGTATCATGCAAATGAAACTTTATATTAATTACAAATTATATTTATTTCATTTCAAATATTAAAATAAGACTAATAAATATAACTGGTACAAGGAATGTTTACAGCCTAAAATTAATATCATGTGTTACTTATATTATATAAAACAAGAATAGTACCTACAGAAAATAACACACAAATTAAATATTAAATATACTTTAAATTAAACATTTAAATTCTAACATGTAAATTAATAGTTTTGATTTTTTATTTATTTTTATATCATATTTTTAATACATCACTCAATAAGTCCGTAGGATTATTTATATTTGGATATTGAAATTTTGAATAGATCGTAGTTGAAATGCAGTCTTCAGTATTTCCATAATCAGCAATATAACAAATATTAGATTATGTAAGTACTACAGTCCGCATTTCAACTGCAAACTTTTCAAAATTTCAATATCCAAATATAAATAATCCTACGGACTTATTGAGTGCTGTGTTATATACTTACAATTTCAATTTTTTTCGGCTGTTTTTATTTTCAATGTCTATGCTTTTGACTTATATTAATTAAGTAGTTAAATAAAAAAAAACTAAGAAAAATATTAAAGTAATACGATCGTATAAGTTGAACGAATTACGTAAGGCACTTAACTAAAACTAATTTCTAAGCAAATTCATTAAAAACGCTTTATACATACATGAGAAGAAATAATCTTCATGAAACGTAACTGAATTCAATTCTACATAAATGTAAGTTCAACATAATCACATAAAAATCACGTGAACGATTTTTTGGTGTATTTGAGTACCGTTATGTGAATACTACGACTTAAAATATACAAATTCTAAAAAATTCATAATATACAATTCGCATAAAATTAAACTAAAATGTAAAAATGTCAGAAGTTTAGCTAGAGCTTTCAGAGGGTTCGGACTTAATCGTAACTCCATTGCAATATGCTGCTGGCATTCTCAATTCGGGTAATCGTTCTAAAACAACTACTGGAAGCTTTTCAAATGTAATATTATTAACATTAAAGCCATTTGTATTTTTCGATTTATTTCGCTTGATCTTCGAGGTAATTCTGCGCCGTGTGAAACTCTTTGAAATTCTTCTGAAAGCATGATCTGGCCAGTCATCGATATCATTCAAACTTCTATGTTGCAGTTTTTTAATCTTTTTAGTTGATTTAAACTTATGTTTTGCTTCCTTCTTACGTTGTTTTTTTATTTCTTTAAGTTTAAGCAGCCTCAGTTCTTGTAAAAGATCTAAAAAAGAAATACAAGTTGCATATGAGATTAGATAGATTAGTGGATTAGGATAATCTACATGCATTATAAATAAGTAACAAATGAATAAACATTAGAAGATCAAATCAAATATTTTTACGAATATAATAAAACAGCGTAAAATAATTTATAGAAAGGTACATAATCAACATATACACCCAGTAAACATCGTGTGACCTGTGCGGCGACAGGAATCTGAAATCCACAAGCTTGCCTTCAGCGTTGTAATATCTATGTGGAATTTATGTGGATATCAGATTGCCTCGCCGCTCGGTGTTTACTGGGCGCTACACTATTATTGCACCAACTTAATTTCATGAAGTAATAAATTAAAAAATGTTTCAAGCCCAAGTTTTTTTTCTATCATCAGTGCAAATATTAACAGCAAAAAAAAATTAACACATTTAAATTACTTTTTATTTCGAATAAATATCTTAAATTGTGGGTGGTAATAATAATCAAAGTACTTTTTTAGTAATACACACATTATTATACTCTCATTACTTCGATTACTTTAAATTTTTTCCACAATTGGTGATTCAACAAAATATTGGACGAAATCCAAAGTCGCAAAGCATATAAAATAAAAACAAAGTCACTTATTAGTCAGGAAATATGTATATTCTTTATTGAGGAAATTGTGAAATTTTATTAATTGGTGAATGCATTAAAAATATATGATTTTTAAGTGAGCTCTTGTATGTTGTACGCAGGTCGCAATGTGGACACTTTTGACTTGGTTCCTTTCCACATTCATGTCTTAGATGGCGATTCAGGCTGGTGCGATTTTTGTAACTTTTTGGACATTGTGGGCACTTAAAATTACGATCGAATCCAAGAGATACGCCGTATAGGTCTAAAAATAAAATACAACATTAGTATGACAATATTTCTAACTACATTAACGAATAAATAAAATATATTCAGTAAGTTTATGCAAAAAATCAAATGAAACATACAGTTTTTACAAAATTAATTCTTATATTAACATATGTAAAACATTATAAAATGTAATCTTATTGATATGAAACAATTCATAAAATTTAAACTTAAATTACATAATTAATCTGGATTAATTATTAACAGATTGTGATTGAAAATCCAATCACTATTGAAATGTAAAGATAACTAAATATTATCTTTCTGTTTTATTGAAATAAATTCCCAATCAAAAGGTAAAGCATTGTGAAGCACATAATTACTGCAATAAACGTTAGCAACTTGATAAACTTTATACTAAATGTTAGCAACTAATTCATATTTTCAATCATAAATCCACTAGCACATACCATTCATAATTCATTATTTATATTATGTGTTAGCATAAATTTTCAAATGTATCACATAAAATATAGTGTCTCTATTATTTCATAAAATATTATATAATTACTAAATAATATATTCTTCGTCTTACTAAGATAAAATTTTTACATGAGTTATGGTAAAAGACACTTGATGGTACATATCACCAATTTTAAAGTTAAAATACCAAGCCCAAGGCTCACTCGTTGATTATTAATACATATGAATAATATAATACAAGTATATAATCTATGGATAAAATTAAACTTAAAGGTATACGAATTCATTCTTACTAATAACTAATACAAAATAAAAATTTAATTCTAGTGAAGGAAAAAATATTCAGTTATTATAAACGAAAAATTATGCATTCCAGAAAGAAAAAATAAGTATAATTAAAAAATAACTTCATATATAGTACTAAAGTATTTGTTTGGAGTCTGTTTGAAGGCACTTTGTTCTGGTCTGGAAGACGTTCTATATAATACTTAGCACGTGTAAAATATTTGTATTTTTATACGTAGATTATTACCGAGAAATGTTATAAGACAAACTAATTTTCCAAAGCACATTTTCAATCAATCAATCAACCTATACTTCAACTTTCACCGATTCAGTCTTAACGAGTACGTGATGGCGAACTTTTATATGTTTTTTAAGCTCGTTTCTTCTATGATTTTTATGAGGACAATAAGGGCATTGGAATTGCGGTTCTTTCATACACTCAATATTTAAATGTCGCACTAAATTTTTCCGGGCGCTATACAATCTTCCACATTTTGGACATCTGTACCCGTCAGGCGTGAAAAACTCGGCACAAGGCAATTTTCTGTTTGAGGGAACGCTGGGTGCACCTTTGCCATCCTCAGTTTTAGGAGCTTCTCCAGACATTGGTGATATTTTTTTCTTTTTGGGAGTAGAAGATTCTTCGGTCAGAGTTTTGTCGTCGGCAGATGTATCTGCACTATAATCTGATGGATTGAAGCCAGCAGGATAAACAATTTCAACAGTATGCCAGGTAGAATCGTTGGACAAGTCACCGATATCACCATCTAGCAGAGATGCTTCTAAGTCCAAATCCATTATGGGAGAATTTGGAATGTGGATTACTGAAAGTATATAGTTCAGAAAATGTAGTTTTATATTATGTATTATTTGAGTTTATACTTCTTCAAACTACTATCTGTTAGTAAAAAAACGTTAGAGATATTTTTAATTACATGTGTGCCGTATAGAAAATAACTCTTACGTTGCGATTGAATTTGTGATCAAATAACCACAACACCAACTCAAATATATAATATATATATATATATATATATATATATATATTCTAGATCGTGCTGCTTATCCATAAATATCATTATGTACCAAATACAGAATTTAATAATACAAGAACTAAATATTAAATGCTGATGAAGGATTTTTGCTGATTCTTAAAACTTAATCCATCTAACTGCAATTATCCTTCATCTTCAAATATTGTTTACAACATGGTCAATTGAATTTAAACATAATAAAATAATAAAACTGTTTGAGACGTTTATTCAAATAAGAACTAAAAATACACTCGTATATCTACAAATAACGAACAAAAAATGACTATTCTACCAAACTACTATAAGATAATACACAATCAGCACACTATTTAGTTTCTAGGCTTAGATTATGTTAAATTAAATCTAGAAACTGCATCTAATATGACTATTTGAAAGCACGTCCTATTTATAGGCACTATCGGATTTTATTATAAACTCTTATCACGCAGAATATATTGCACATACAAAAACATCAATTTAAGGCATTTATATCAATAGGACTCACGGGAATCTATGTTAATATATAATGGTTACTTTTGACTACATGACTATAAAATTAAACAAAATTTGTCCACTAAAAGACTATTGCACTTCATGGTTGATTATAATTAAAACTGTAAACTTCTTTAAATGAGGAAGAAACATTCATTTAACCCTTTCCACTCGCGAGTCCCGAGATTTATATGAATTTTGCCACTGAAGCGGCGTCATCCGAATGGAAAGGGTTAGTATATTAACTTCTTTTCAACTTGCAACAAAAACAAAAAAAATAAACTTCCGTTAAATATAATGCACACAACATTAGGACATACAACTTTGGAGCGTTAATACTCTTCATATCATGTGTTGTAAAAATCGTTAAATTTAAACAATAATAATTAAAAAATCCAATTTAACTATAATATAAATCTTTTTGCTATAATTATATCATCGTTCTCTAGATATTCAACAAACAAATTTAGAGCCTATAGTAAATATCAAAATTATTCACTTCCTAATATCCAGTCTTAACCCGGAAATCCTAAAATTGATTCCTAATTCCGATAGTAACAAAAAAATGTTCACATCGGCCGTGGCCACTATTCCCTAATTTAGTTAAAAATGTATCGAAGACTTGATGTATCAAAAAAAAAATGTCTAAAATCATACACATACACTGTTTTTTATATAGAACATATATGACTGGCATAGACTTTAAAACAAAGCTTATTTTCTTCTTCTACCAAATCGCGAATGTCAGACTGTCAGACATATATGAATGACATGGCTCATGTGGAACTTGAGGACACATACGACTGACATGACTATTAACGTGCTAATAATAGATAAAGATCAATGGAGAACTCCTGATAAAATAAAAGTACGGAGAAGAAAAATATTTTCGGAAAGTCCTGGTGGTTTTTTTGATTATCCTGATGGTAACCAAGGGATATCAGAAAATTCGCTTCTCATCCAGTGATAATAAATAGCAAACTTGATTAAAAAATAGAACGTCTCAGTGACTGTTAACATACGATGAAGAACGACAAGAAATCGTGATAAAAAATAAGTGTAGAATAAAAATTTTTGGAACGTCGAGAGTGGCATATTTGATTATCCTGATGAACACCAGGAGATATCAGTTAATTCGCTTTTTATTTAGTGTTATTAAACCGCGCCCTTGACGGAAAAACAAAACATTTCTGTGAATATTAATAAACGATGGAGATTGACGAGAAATCATGATGAAACAAAAGTACAGAAAAAAATCTTTGTGGGAAGGTCCTGAATGGTTGAATTTATCATCCCAATGGTGACCAAGAGATATCAGCTATTTAATTTCATATCCAGTATTAATGTAATTAAAGTCGCGCCATTGATGAAAAACTAGAACATATTTGTGAATGTCAAAAATGCAATAAAAATTGACAAAACTTCTTAAAAACTGAATGAAAGTAGAGAAGGCAAATGTTGTCGAAACGTTCTGAGTGTTTTTATTTAATTTCCTGAAGGTAACAAGAAATATCAGTTATAGCTGATATCTCTTGTTTACCATAAGCGAATATAGTTCGACCTATGGTACGAATTTTATTAGCTTATTTGCACCATAAGTAACTAACTAGTCGGAAAAACAAAACATTTCTGTGAATATTAATATTATAAACGAGGAGATTGACGAGAAATCATGATGAAACAAAAGTACAGAAAAAAATCTTTGTGGGAAGGTCCTGAATGGTTGAATTTATCATCCCAATGGTGACCAAGAGATATCAGCTATTTAATTTCATATCCAGTATTAATGTAATTAAAGTCGCGCCATTGATGAAAAACTAGAACATATTTGTGAATGTCAAAAATGCAATAAAAATTGACAAAACTTCTTAAAAACTGAATGAAAGTAGAGAAGGCAAATGTTGTCGAAACGTTCTGAGTGTTTTATTTAATTTTCCTGAAGGTAAACAAGAAATATCAGTTATAGCTGATATCTCTTGTTTACCATAAGCGAATATAGTTCGACCTATGGTACGAATTTTATTAGCTTATTTGCACCATAAGTAACTAAGTCGAAAAAGATGAATAAACTAACCCTTTCCACTGGCGGTATCCGAGTCGAACGGGCTGATCTTCAAAAGAAAAATAACTATCTATTGTTTCCTTTGATTAATACTTGATCTATACATGATTTTGTCAATAAATCAGCACAACGACCTTTTATCGCAAATATCGTAAGCGAAAATTCTGAACTTCTAACGACAATTCCGAAATGTCAAATTCGTTAGGAAAGTGAAATCAATAATCGGCTAGGAAGTCGATGAATATATAATGCAGTATGCATATATAAGTATATACACATGTAAGTAATATTTTTTTCAGACGGTGACAAATATGTTGATAAAACAAAAAACTTCTTAACAGAGGCAACCATCTAGATAATAAAATAAAATGAAAACTAAGAAATGCTTCTTAAGATCAATTTAATAAATCCATACGTTTCGAGTCCCAATTTGAAACTTGCGAGTAAATAATACACGAGTACAAAACAAGAACATGTCAAAGAATAAATATTACTACACAAACAAGTAAAAAATAAAAATTAAATATACTTCAAAAAACGAATAAACAAAAATAATAAACACGACCATGACGTCTCAAAAGATAAAATATAAAAATTATTGATTGGTTTTGTGTTTGTGTATTAATTACTTGTGTGTTTTTTTTTCACTGAGAAAGAGTCAAATTAGGAATCGAAACGTATGAAGGTATTAAATTTATTTTAAGAAACATTTCTTAGTTTTCATTTTATTTTATTATCTGGATGGATGCCTGTTAAGTTTTTTGTTTTATAAACATAAAAGATATACGTATATGCATTTAATATATAGGATTTTGCAATGACGACTCAGCAAAAGCAAAATATGAATATACAGGAACAAAAAATTAAATTCTTCTATATCTATAAGGCTCCAAAAAGGTAATGCAGCATATGTCTGAATTTTTTCAAAAAACTTTCGATTTTTCTGTAACGGATGTTATACTGTATAATATAACTATATAAAATCCAATAATTTATATATATATATATATATATATATATATATTCACATATAAATAGTTCATGGTGTTTTATTATTATATCAAAACAGAATGTGTTTTCCTCATATGAGAATTAAGTAAACTCTGATGCTCGTATCTCCTGATGCACAGAGGGCATTTGAAGGGCGACCTGATGGAACACTCATGACGCGCGTGTCTCTTCAAATCTTCAGCATCCCTACAAACACCTCCACAAACACAAACGAATGCTTTTGAATCATTTTTGGATCCAACCAAACTTATTTCAGGAATCAAAGTAGTATTTATTTCTCCACTTTTGGTAATTGTCAGAGATGCAGGCTTAAGGTCGGCCAACCAGTGCGAGTAGGCAGCAGAACGGGAAAACTCTTTAGCGGTTTTACCTGTGAACAGAAAATATAGAAGAGTGTCAGTATGAGGAAGTAGAAAAATGATCAAGAAAATTCTCATATATGTACCTGATATGAAATGAATATGCAACTTTCAAGATGATGTTGATTCAAAGGCTTATTTTTGAAATATATATATATATATATATATATATATATATATGTGTGTATATATACTTATATATTCGTAACACAAATGTTTTCAATGACAATACATTAATCTAACTACTGAAAATAATAAGAAAAATTGAATTACAAAATATTTATTTAAAACAAATTCCATAATTTTATAAAAAGTTTTCAAAGTCAACATATCTATGAAATTTTGAATGTATATATTTAAAAACAGTCTATATAAAGCATTAATCTGCGTAAAATATAATAAAAATATCTAGTATAATAAATCATACGTTTTCATAAAATCTCAATATAAATATTTGCGTATACACAATGTCTATAAAATTTGAATTATCTGATTATTATTCACATAAAAAATAATTGCACTTTTTATTATCAAAAACTACTTATATAAATGTTGTAGCCTCATAGCACCCTGTTATACAGTCAATGTTTCAATAGTAACGTCCTGCATAAAGTATTTGCAGCAAATATGTTTTATATTGCGGCATCCATATATATAATATTTTATATTAACTATAATCCTTTTTTCAATTTTTAAATATATAATATTTTCTAAACTATCTACTTAAGGTTATTGCAGCTATCATTATGCAATAAATTACTAGAACAATACGTTTAATGATAAAATTCTAACAAATAAAATGAATAATTTGAAGGACTTGCTTAAATAAAATAAATTTTAATAAAATAGAATAGACAAACGATTACAAGATAATGTAGGATACAAACGCGAATAAACTTATATAAGAAAAACCATTTAAAAATCACGCCAATTTTCACACCATAAACTATAAATATATAAAATTATTAAGAACAACTATTTTGCATGAGTACAAGCAAATATATATATATATATATAATTTGATTGATTAATTCTGGATTTTTATTAGTTTATGTTTGTTTTCTGAAGAGTTTGATCCAAAATATTTTTTGAAGGTGCCAATATTGGTAGAGGTTTGAGACATTTTGAAATTATTTAGTTTTGATCATCAGGCTTCTTGTCAATATAGATACTATAATAAGCAATTTGGTAAAGAAATGCAGTTGAGAAAAAATTAGAAAATTAGTTATCAAACTTTGACTTGTTTCAACTCCCCGGAAAACAAACACAAAAATATATATAAAATAGTAAAACATTACAAACAACTTTTATACAATTTATAGAAAAAATATTGGTAGTATCTCCTTACTAACCTATGTATCTATCACACAAAATTGCATATAAAAATACCGCCCAAATTAGTATATATATATATATATATATTAGAGATGGGCTTATTATATCCGAAGCCGGATCGACTCGGATTTGACTCCGCTTCATGGTGGAGTTATGTCCGCTAAACAACTCCACGACTCCGACAATTTTGAAACCGAAATACTCGAAACAAATGTGTTCTACAGTACGCTGTTTATGTATTTAAGGATATGTCAAATCCCATTAATTATTTGAAATAAAAATTTATGAATAATTATTATCAATAAAATATTTTTTCTAAAAAATTCACGGATAAATGACGGATTGTAAAATTTTTCGGTCGACCAGATGATCGACTCAGTGACTCGTATTTTTAGCAGTGTTGACCAAAGTAAAAACGCAAAACTTGAGAATCAAATTCAATTGAATGATTTCCTTTTGATGAGAAAATAATTGATTTTTTGGATTAATTTTATATAAAAATTATGTGGTAAACTTTGTAATAAAAGCAAAACATAATACTTCTGCTTTCAAAATTTTTCTTCTGCTATTTCCATTTGAAAATTAATATTATATCGCGTAGTTCGATTAGCATATTATTACTTTTACACAATTATATAATTGTGTAAAAGTAATAATATAATACTGAATATTTTTACTGCTTAAATGCTAATGATATCACTGATAAATTTTGTATTCTAAAGTGTTGCTATTTCAGGCTATGGAAAAAAAGATTAAATAAATGTATTTCGTTTCGTATATTTTTCGGTATGTATATTCCTGAATGCCGTCATTTAACCAAAGATTGTCGTAGTTAGAAATATGACCCCTTACTATTCAATAAATTATACATTTGAGCTATTCACACTTGAATCCAATTTCATTGTATTGTATCTTTAAAGTAACATTTTTGTATTTTCTGGAAAATACACAATGGTATTTATTTTGACTTTTATACCTAAAAAAGGTCATAAAACTGCCTGCGAGACAAACTGACCGCTTCCTTCCCAAATCAAAAACGACAAAAACACTAAATGCCTGTACGAGTTAACAGATTTAATACCAGTTTAAGGAAGTCGGATATGACAAATCCTGTGAAACAACTCCACTCGGATTCACTCCGAGGGAGGAGTTGTATCCGAGTGATAACTCCGGAGTGAGTTACCCATCTCTAATATATATATATATATATATATATATATATATATATATATAAGGTTGTCAAATATCTCCCTTCCGCTTTTTTGCTCTTGGTTTATAATACAAAAAGGCGGAAGGGAGATATTTGACAACCTTATATATATATATATATATATATATATATATATATATTTATATAATTTAATCCACGGCGGCCTATATCTGATAAATAAATACTCTAATTGATTGATTTGAAGCTAAATAGAACATAAAATTGAACAAGCGGCTAATACTTGCCTTATTACTGTAATTGGCATTCTTATTTAAAAAAATAAATTATTAAAATACTGAAACAAAAAAATGTTAGGTTAAAATCAGTGAATAGTACGATTCACCAGGCTTATAATTATAAAATATATCTCTCATAATCAGCATCTGCCCACACTAACCATTTTTAGACCAGCTATGGCATTAATAGTAAAACAAATTTGTAACTATAATAAAATTTGGTAAAATAAATGTCACATTTTGGACACTTCAAGAATTCGTCATAAATATTTTTGTCAGATCCGTGTTAAAATATAATTTTCTATTGCTACTTTTTTTACTAAAATTTTGGCGACTAAAAACTAATTTCAATCAGCATGACACGCTTTAATCTAATCCGATAATCATACTTTGGTATACTATATCGTTAATTGGTTTCTATCAAATAATCCATCGAAAAAATATTTTTCTTGCTTGACTTTTTACATTTGATCACGTCAAACGTATCTCATGTGAACTTCTAGGCCAGTTTCAGCCTTAAGGCCATGGACATGAATTAGATGTACTTTGACGTGGTCACGTCGTACAAAACGCTGGTCGCAGATGCCGCAGCGGTGCTTTCTCTCGACGCCGCATTCTAGCCGCAAGTGACGCCGCAGAGTTTCCTTACGGAGGTAAGATCTGCCGCAATCGTTTGGGCAGATGTAACGAAGTTCGCTGGATCTTGATAAATCGTTGGACCTGCCGCTTCCTCTTCCGCGACCAGAAGTCTTGTTCGATCTGGTTGAAGTTGTGAAAAATCCCGGACCAGACATCCAGGTCACATCACATTCTTGCAATATTTCAGGATTCCACAAGAAATCTGCAAAATAAAATAGTTCGTTAGAAAAATTAAATGTTATATGCCAGGCGTTTAGACACAACACGTTTGATTCTTTAGATGGTTAAACACATCCCTTAAACATAAACCAATATGCCACATCGCACGTGTAGTGTCTATTTTTTATATGAATTTTGTTTGTTAATTAATAAGTTAACATTATTACCTATTAGCTCTTTGTGTCAGCAAACAAGTAAACATCAACAAGCGCAATGTACGAAAAAACATTCAGTATGTAAAATGGAAAATATAGTAGCTTACATAAACGAATAATGGGCAATATAATATTAACAAAAGTTAGGAAACAGTATTTTAAACACAAGTTCAAATGAAAGATTACTGAAAAAAAGATTTGTTATACAAATATTATTATCACAATGATGTTAGTGAACAATCCAATAATGTAAAAGATTTGTCATCAAATATAATTTATTCATTACTCAGTAATTATCTGACATAAATACATATTCTGCTTTAAATAATATGTAACATTCTTCGAATAATAAAATTTTTAAAATAAAGATCTATATCTCAACGAGTATCACACAAATGTAATAAACAAAACTAATCAGACTTGTAGTATAACTCTACTAACAAAAATCGTAAAAACTAATCAAAATTTTCTTTCTTAATAGAAGGCAATATAAGACCATGCTTTCTCTGCATGTGGTCCTTCAAAGTTTTATTTTGCGTAAAAGATCTATCGCATATGGTACATGTAAATTGACGGCTGGAGGTGCATTCGTACTTCGTATGACGATACAAATTTCGTTTATGATGATAACCTCTGCCGCAGGTTACACAAATGTAAGGCAATTCTTCAAAATAGGTTCTCGGTTTTCGGCCACGCCTGCGCGGCCTGGGAGGTGATTCGAAAATATCATATTTAATTAACTTTGAGTCGTACAAATCAATGTTCTGCATATATCGGAGCCTGCCTCTTGTCAGTGGGGCGCTGTTTGAAAATAGAAAATTTTCATTCTGAACAAAACCTGAAATGAAGCGAAATGGTTAATATTTGAACTTTGAATGAGTCGTCACTCATGCGGAAAGATAGAGCTGAAAGTAGAGGTAACAACCTGGACGGACACTGCACAATTTGGAAAGAAAGTAAGAGAAATAGAATAATTTTTTAACAGCATTCTGGACAAAAGACACAAAGAATAAAAATACATGGACAAAATACATAGTATATAAAACGTAAATAGACATAAAATAATAATAGTAGTTGAAGAAAATAAAATTAAAAAAATAAAATACTTCTTATTAAAATAGTTTATTTGAAATTTATATATATATTCCCATAAATATACGTATTTATCATAAAAATCATACTTATATATATTAGGGTGGTCCTTAATATAGATATTTTAGAATTTCTATGCTCCCAGGGGTTCAAATGCTTCCAAATTGATAAAACAAAATTCACTTAAAAGTTTTAGCTCTTAATATTAACTTTAAGACAGTCTGCACTCCAACCAAAGTTTCTTATGGAAATACAATGAAAAAAACTCCATTTATTTTTTAGAATTTTTTAACTCAAACAAATGAATCAAAAGTAACAATTCGTGTCATATTTTATTAAAAATTCGACCTTCTACAAAAAAGGTTTCTTACAATTTTTCGTTAAATCTATTGGCTTAAGAGTTATTCGAGGTCAAATATTAATTTTTGGAATTTCAAATCGTTTCAATTTTTTTGAACATGTGTCAATACTTTTTATCATGATCAAAATTTTGAGAATAACATTGTATTAGATTATTTTAATCACAAATAAAAAATTTACGACAAAAGTTTTACATAATTTATATAATAAGAATTTACTTAACAATCATTCTTGATAGTATTACTAAATGTAGAATAATTGAACTCAAATAACTTGTAAACAAATAGATTTAACAAAGTATTATAAAAAAGCCTTTTTATTAGACATCGAATTTTCAATAAAACGTAACATAAATTGTTTTTTTTTAATTATTTGGCGCTGAGTTATAAAATTTAAAAAAAAACAGATGCATTTTTTACCATGTTATCTCGTGCGGACTATCCTAAAGTTAATATTAAGACCTAAAACTTTCAGAGATTTTTTTTAAATAAGGAAGCATTTGAGCCCCTGAAAGCAAAGAAATTCGAAAATATCCATATTAAAAACCACCCTAATATATATATATATATATATATATATATATATATATATATATATATGTGTGTGTGTGTGTGTGTTATGTGAGTGTGTAAATATAATTATATATTAATGGAATTTGTATTAAAAGTCTTTGAGTTTATAATAAGCCTATCACGTTCTGTGTATCTAGTGTGTAAATAATTATAAATTTCTCATTATATAAATATCTGTGATTTTTCCCCGTTCATTTTCCAATATCAAACAAAATGTTATAGTAGGTACTTTTTATTTTGAGTGTATTCTGCTAACATGTGTATTCAAGTGACACTTCTGAGCAAAAGATTTATTACAAAACTTACAAATAAATTTTCTTTGCCCACTGCATTCATATTTTACATGCCTCGATAAATTGCGCTGATGTACATATGATTTTCCACATACTTCACAAGCAAAATCTTTGTTTTGAGTCATATCACGACGATCAGACTTATTACATTCGAATTCATTGTGGTACGCGTAATCATGGAATTGTTTTCCACAAGTGGGGCATGTTATATTAATAATATAAGATGAATCAGTTTGATTAGATTTCAACAATTTGCATTCCAGTCCTTGAAACGACATCGGCTCTGAGTAATTGATTATGTTTATTTTTTTTCGCAAACCATGTTTCGACAACAAACGAGAAGATTCTCTATTCTCTGAAACAAAAAATAATAGATTAGTTGATAAAAAAATTATGTGTTTCGATAGTGTAGATATTTACATATATGCAGTAACCTGTGATATATACAATTTTAATTCTCAATATTATAAAATAAAAATTCAACGTTTTATATTAAACGTCAATATATTTATATAAATAATAACATGACCCATTTGGATGTCACCTAGAATTAACCCAGGCACCTTCGAGTACTTTTCATGATTTAATTGTATATTACCTTAGTAACTAATATAAATATATTTATTAGGGCGGGTCAATTTAAAGGTCACTTAGGCACTTGTGATTTTCGGATTCTAGGGATCAAAATAAGATACTTTGCTGAAGAAACCGTACCTCTAAAATAACTTCTGATGCTCCGTGCATTGACCAAAAGATAAGGGTTAAATTTTGAAAAAAAATTTGAACCACGGGCATGAGTGTATTGGCCTTCCAAAGTTAGTGCAGGGTACTCTAAATGGGTCAAAATGGGTTTTTTCAAATTCATTTTTGGATCAAGGCACATAACATCAGAATTCATTTCAGAGGTATGGTTTCTTCAGCAAAGTATCTTATTTTGATTCCTAGTATCCGAAAATCATATGTACCTGAGCAACGCATACAAATCGACCAGCTCTAATGCTTCGCCAGAGATTTCAATATAATCGCAGCTTGAACATTTTACTTCATTGATACATATTGATTTAATATAATAGTTCCTTGTCAGTAATTCATGAATAATTATTCATCTCTGGTATTCGTGTTCACATTCGGCGCAATTTTTTTAAATATATAGTACAAATATTCTAAATTTACATATAAACCTTGTTATATATACTTTTGATATCTTAAAACATACCAACAATAAACTTAAATAGTAAAAAAATAACTTAAGCAATAACAACTTAACCAGTTGATGTACTGGAAGAAAATTGACAATAATAGAAAACATTTTTAATTTGTAGATGCAACATTAAGTGCGATCAAAGTATATACCCTTATCAATTTTACAATTATGTTAAAAAATTTGTTTCTGCAAAATTTTCTTCAAACAAGCATTCGAAGTGCTATGTCGTTTCAGGTGAGCACGTTGCTTGAAAGCATGGCCGCATCTGTGGCAAGAAAATAGGCGCTGGTCTCCACACTCGTACTGGACATGCCTGATCAGGGAACTCGCATCTTTGTAAGAACGAGTGCAACCAGCATTTGTACATTGGAATCGGTTGGAATTAGACTTGTAATTTCTCCAATCTGAAAAAATGAAAGAAAAGTATCGCATATGGCACTTGGTGCTGATTAGAAAATAGAATATGATGGTAAAATCAATCGTTCTGAAGGAAACAACCTTCGTCGTGTACCAGATCAGATCATGCGAGCTTGGTCGTTTAAATCTTTACTAAGGTGTATATATATATAAATTTGGAAATATGAACACTCTTTTTGCACTATTTTATTAAATAATAATTTTCACAAACGTTTCATAGAACATTTTTTCTCCTAACGACATCTATTTTTCAACTGGACCCTAATCCTTCCTTTTCTATCTGATATTGCGTGACTAGTCACTTGAAAACCACTTGAGATCGAATAGAGAATTCGGACACCGACGATCGTTGGTGGGGCAGAAGACAGTATTTCGAACAACGTGTAAAGGATAACACATAATGCTAATTTGGGTTTCCATATTTTAAATTTTAAATTATAACACACTGATGATGACACAAACCTAGTCTCGAAACGTTTGTAAAAATTATTATTTAATAAAATAGTGCAAAAAGAGTATTGTTTGTTCATATTTCCAAATTAATATCTATTATCCACTCAGAATACATACATATATTCATATATATATATATATATATATATATATATATATATATATATATATTATATATAACTACATAAGTTTGTTTATATGCAAGATTAAACGATAAACACATATGGGAAAATGTCATGTGGTGGTATCAGTAAGGAACAAAATTGTACAAATAAATATAAATCTATTTGAAGTAACAAAATTTTATTCATAATATTCACTTATATACATAAATAATAAATTTTTATGGTTTTGGAGGTTCGCGCCTTCGTGGCTCCTTGGTACCACTATGAGCAACTGCCTTATGTCTGGTAAGATGAGAAGATCGCAAAAAGGCCCAAGTACATTTATCGCATTTATACCTACGTATCTTCGTTATGCATTCATATCTCACGTGAGATATGCATACTGATTTATTTTTAAAAGTTCTTTGACAATTAGGGCATTGGAACCTGTTTCCAGTAGGCGTTTGAATTTCCCGCATGCCTTCAACCTTTGGTGAACGTTTGGAATATCTTTTCCTTTTGGGTTTTGGAGAAGTCTGCGCATTTGCACTTTCATCGCAAGTTTCATGACTTTGTTCTAATTCATCTTTTGGCAAATCGTCACTGGAATTTATCAACTCGGCCAGTTCTTCTCCGGAATAACTTCTTCTCGAGAAATCTTTGAGCATTACACACCAGAAATTAGATGGACGTTGCTTCCTTATTACGGCATCTGAATTATCTGATGTATTATTAGTACTACAACCAATTTCTTCATTCAATTTGAATCTGTTTATAGGGGTACCACACATAGCTTTTGTTGGATCTGAAACAAAATCAATCCCATAACATCAGCATAAAATGTTTTAAGAAATCAATCAATAATGTTTTCAGTAATTTATATAGCAATTTTAGATGGTTAAAAGAATACAAAAAAATCTTTTTATAAAATTTTTATTATTTTTTTAATAAACGTATTGCATAAAATGTGTTAAATGTTTAAAGTGCTAACATATATCCAAAATGGTTCTCATAAGCAAGATATAAGTACAATAAATAGTATAACAGAAAATTATATGCCCAAAATAATTTCGGCACCCGAATTATCTGATGTATTATTAGTACTACAACCAATTTCTTCATTCAGTTTGAATCCGTTTATAGGGGTATCACACATAGCTTTTGTTGGATCTGAAACAAAATCAATCGCATAACATCAGCATAAAATGTTTTAAGAAATCAATCAATAAAGTTTTCAGTATCTTGTAGAGAAATTTTATACGGTTAAAAGAATACAAAAAAATCTTTTTATAAAATTTTTATTATTTTTTTAATAAACGTATTACATAAAATGTGTTAAATGTTTAAAGTGCTAACATATATCCAAAATGGTTCTCATAGGCAAGATATAAGTACAATAAATAGTATAACAGAAAATTATATGCCCAAAATAAATAAATAAAGTTAAAACAATTATTAATAAATAAGATAAAATAATCTACTAAATAACAAGATTATATTATTTAAGGTTACTCTGTTAAATATTCTTAATTGATCTCTCTATATAAGGAATGTTAAACTATAAAGGAATTACTCATACTTTGTACATTACTTTGCAGGAAATATAGTTCCTTAAGGCGTATATAAAGACACTTAGAATGCTTAAATTCTATTATAAAAATGATTATAAATTGCACATCGATCTTTAGCATTATTGGTCCACGATACTGATATTGGTCTTATACTTAACTAATTCCATTACCAAATGCACTAACAATTAGGATTATATTATGATACTAAAAATACTAAATTTTACAAAAAAATCTAAAATATGGAAATGCTGAAATATTATAACAATATAAATCTTAAATTAGAGCATGTTATATAAAAACATATTTTGCAAATTGGCAAGTGATGATAATTTATTGCAAAAATCGCTTGAGCTATAAGTATTAAATGAAAACCTACAACTATTTTTTTTATAATGTAAACTTTTGTACACTAACTTAAATATAACTTCTGATAAAATAATTATAATTCCCGATGGTTATATAGATAAATATGTATTTAAACAAGTTAACAAATCGATAAACTAAATATGTATTAAATCTTTGTAGCAACCCCAAGTAGACTGCTAAGATATTGCACTAAGTCTTATTTCTAACACAAAATTATACTTTGCTTTGAATTGCGCATAGATATTTTTAAATCCACCCTAAATATTAATTTTAATTGATATATAAGACGCCGATCATTTGTAAAAGAAAAAACATCTCGTAAATTAAATATATTTCATGCAAAACTTAATTGATACATTGATTGGTAATATATGAATAAGAAATATGGAAATAAAATTAGAAATAGACTTTAGAAATTTAGGCCGCATGGTGACAGTGTACAAATTAAATTTGCACAATTAAACTGAATTTTATGAGCATAAAAACATAAAATAGATCCAGCGCACTATGATAAACTATATAGGTACCATAATATAAAAATCAACCTGCATAATTCGGATTATGCTTTTTAACGATATGAGTTTTCAAATTATCTTTGCGTCTGGATGAGTGGGGACAATATGGACACTTGAAAGCCGAATGGTCAGTTCCACATTCGTAACGACAATGTCTCTGCAAATTATTCCTGTTAGAATAAATCCTTCCACATTTCTCACACCAATATCGAGGAGGATCACCACGATCAGAATCGTTGTTGTTCCATTTACCATCAGCGTAGATCCGTACTTCCTGGTTCAAGAATTTTGGCTCTGCCTTAATTTTTCGTTCGCATAAAGGTGTAATGGTGGTTGAGCTATTCAGCTTAGAAAGTGCGGCCGAATGTATTAGCAATGGTGGTGGTTTTCTCTCGACATTATTATTTGTTAAACGCTTCGAATTATGATTATTCACTGCTGATTTGCGATCTTGATTGTTAGAGTCATTCATGACAACGACGCCGTTGACGCAGTCCAAGTCTTGGAACCAAAAGAGATCAGCGGTGCCAAAGGCAGATCCATCTGAGGATCCCAAAAAAATCAAATTAAGTATTAATGTAACGAAGATTAAAACTTCAAAACAAAGAAATCGTGAGAGAAAGGATAGATGAAAACTTCAAGTGATAAGTGCAGATCAATTTCAACACAAAAAGTATATAGCATCATATCAGAAACATTACTCATTCAAATTCAGAATAGTTTTTTTTTTGTAAATTGCAGTGTTGAAATATATCTGTTTAGACTATTTTTTGAAGAAGTTGAAAATACCAATGACTTTTGATGTTTGATGTAAAATTATAATATGTTGTATGTGTGAGTGCAAAGACACAAGTGAGGTAAACAGAAATGACCATGATATATCTATATAGTTATGTAATTTGGTTATCTCACACGATTGAAAAACACACTAAGCAAATGATAGTGAACCCACCATGAAATTTCTGTGATGATGTGTGCAAGATCCTTCCTCAGTTCATGTTTGGTAATCCATACAACATTACTCCAATGAAACCAATATGCAAGACATGTGAATGTTACAAAATGGTAAATATTTGGTTAGTAAATAATATGATACATGAATATGTACAAACATCTGAAAGTGACTGAATCGTATGTTTGAAAAAAGCTACTAAGATTCAGCAAGTTTTATAAGTGGACACAGACAATTTAAAGAATAGCAGAAATTAGCGAATGATTAATATATACAAAAATATGCGATTTATGATGATCACACAACAATATACAATAAATCGCATATTAAATGAACAGATTCAAACAAAGTTAAGTTTTTCGGTATTTTATTATGAAATTGGGTATTAACAATAAACTCTTATTCTAGGTTCTATAAGCTAGTTTAATAAATATTATATTCCGATGGCTTCATACATTATCCTATTAAATTTCGTAGCTACAAAAATAATGATTATTTGGCATGAGTATTTGGATAATGCATTTATTTATAGGCACATATTCTAAGACAAATATATTGTTAAAAGCAAAGTAAAATTAAAACTACGCACACAATTATGGTAACTATTGACTAATGTTTTCAAGTTCAAATAATTTAAATTAAATAAAGCATTTAAAATCAAGTTATAAATAAAGGACTGTTTGAAAACCTTAAGCTATTTCAACTTCATCTTTTATCATCGAGCTTTTGTCAAGCCCAGTTTTTACAAGAGCTGTTGCTCCTTCATCTTTTATTATCGAGCTTTTGTCAAGCTCGGTTTTTACAAGAGCTGTTGCTACTCCATTATTATGAGTATTAAGATAATGTCTGGTTAAGTGATATCGCCTTTTAAAAGCTGATGGACACATTTCACACTTGAATCTGGGAGCAGCACCTACCGCAACACATTCGTCTTTCTGATGTCTCTGTAGATGACGCTTATGCTTATATGTCTTTTCACAGTTTTCACAAGCAAATCTTCGAGCAACGCCATCAGTTAAGTTTGGACAACCTTCATCCAGATGCCTCTTAAGATGTGTCTTATGTTTATAAGATTTATTACACGCCGTGCAAGCAAAACAATTTTCCACAGGCGGCGATCCAAAATGCATTTTCTGATGATTATGAATCTGGGCCAAGTGTTGCTGTGGAGATAGTACATATCCACTAAGATAATCTCGCATGAAAAATTGAGGTACTTGATAGTTCAACTCCATTGATGAGGTTAATGGAGCATATTTAGGAATTTTTGTAGGCCCGACAACAGACATCGAATGCTTGGCCGTTGTATTGTTGATACCTAAAAAATAATGTGAAATGCAAAAAAAAATTAAACAAAAAATAGCTCATGCAAAAGTAACTAAAGAAAAACAATACAAACAACTGAATAATACTAATATAAATATTTTATAAATTATTATATAAATGCTAAATAAAGAACATACTTCTGTTGAAATAAAATAATATACAAACAAAAACATATTTTCTAAAAAAAATAATAAAACAACAAAAACTGATACCCGGAAAACAAAAAATCTAATTTCCGTAAAAATATTTTATTGCAAAAATAATATAAAACATGTTCAAGGAATTATATGCTTCTTCTCTCTTGACCACATTCAACTAAATTATCATTGACTCAAAACCAAATGATTTGAGATTGAGATTTAAATATTCATGGAATTTTAAAAAGCCAATCATGTTATTGAATATATCGATGTGACCTGTACAAACAACAAAATTCAGTACGTATGCTAAATTCGGTGATTTTAGAAAATATATAAATCGATCGCAAAGAGTATCCTTTTATTAGTATCAAAATGTTTTAGTAAATCATAATTATTGAACTATTTTCTTCAGAAGAATTAGACTTTAGGTTCAATTTTCTTTCCACTCCTTTATGATCCGAAAACCAGGTAGATCAGTCTAGAAAAGAAAAGAATAACATTAATTAAAGATTTAAAAAGGTTATTAGCTTCTAATGTGTTTTGAAGAAATCCACCTGAAAATAAAAATACAAAAATTAATAAACTATAAATAATGAAAAAATTAAATAATAATCTAGAAAAACTGTAAATGATAAAAATTATTATAATAAAATAATAGGGATCATCATTATAAAATGCTTCAGATCATAATTTACATTCATTATATTTTAACGATACATTTGAATCATAATTTGAGCTTATTAATACAGTTACATGCATGCAACAATATTACACTATATAAATTTCTTTCAGTAAATTAGATGTAACATTTGCCATTAACTGTTAATCTTATGATTACTAAATATCATGATAAAGTTTTCTACAAGTAATCGTAGGTTATTTATTTCATCTCAGTCTTAATTTCATTCCAAAATTAAAAATACTATTAGTACGTTCATAGAAATTATACACAAAGCTAATTAAACGACATCATCATCATGATTACACTTTGGGAAATTTTAGCAACTTAGTGAAACTTATATTGATAAAACTAATTATGAATAAAACATTTTCTATTGATCATATCCTAATTATCTCGATAAATGATACTGAGATCATTGTTCTACTTATACATATTCTTTAATAAGATTTGGTATATAATATATTTCTCTAATTCTTAAATATAGAATTTGTATAGAAACTACTTATACAAGTGCTATATCGAATAAATAATATTATATAAATACTATTATATATTTCATGATCTTTGATATATATAGATATATAATTTTTTTAGTACGTCAGAAATCGGGTTCTTACTACCTAAAGTTAACCTAAATCTATGTGGCAAGTATTTCTATATATACATATTAGAGTGATCCTTAACATGGATCATTTTTTAATTTTATTGCTCCCAGGGGCTTAAATGCTTTAGCTTTCAATATTAACTTTTAGAAAGTGCGCAATTCAATCAAAACTTTGTATGGAAATAGGATGGAAAAATTTCGAAAATTTAAAAAATGTTTTTTTTTAGATATAACTTAGCGACAAATGAATTAAAAGTGACAATTCGACGCTCTACAAAACAGTTTTTTTATAATTTGTTTTGCAAATCGTCGAATTTTGAATAAAGCTCATCCATTTGTTCGCTAAGTTATATATAATAAACATTTTTTAAATTTTTGAAAATTTTCCCATACTATTTTCATACAAAACTTTAGTTGAATTGCGCACTATCTAAAAGACAATATTAAGAGCTAAAACTTAAAGAGGATTTTTATTTATCACTTTGGAAGCATTTGAACCCCTGGTAGCAAGAAAATTCGAAAATGTCCATATTAAGGACCACCCTAATATATATAGAAGATTTTGATTTTTCTTCTTACTATAAAAACTTATGGAGCAATTCTCGGATAAATTAGCTATTTATGTTACCTGTCTTATGTTGAGAAATCGAATGAGTTTGACAAACTGACAAAATGATATGTCTTTGGTGTTCAACCAAACGTTTTACACAATATCAACCTCTGCAATCTAACCTCCAAATGGCACAAACGTCGGAATATAACTTTAGTTCCATAAGTGGCACCAAATTGTTGCACTTATGATAGCATATACGTGAAGTCGAACTAATGTTATATTTGGCATTTATGTCATTTGGGGGTTACAATTCAAAAGTTGATATTGTGTGAAACGCGCGCGAACGAACAGCAAAGACATAGCTTTTTAACAGTTCGTTATTACCAACTCATGCAACAACTGAACAAAAAGGACTGGTAACATAACATAGCTATTTTGTCCAGTCATTATAATTAGTCCAGTCATTATAATAAACTCACCTCGGAATTCGAGACACCCAGCTGTAAGTCTGTAAATACTTGTATATTGGCACCCTAAAGTTGCCTCAAAACCTACATATGGCATTGACACCCTACCATATTTAGGTTTTGAACCTACATATGGTAGGGTGTCAATGCCATATGTAGGTTTTGAGGCAACTTTAGGGTGTCAATATACAAGTATTTACAGACTTACAGCTGGGTATCTCGAATTCCGAGATTCTTACCTAATTTAACCTTAAATGACTGGACTAAATAGTACAAATATCAGTTAGTCTATTAAATTTGGCCTTTACAAAGTATTTTTAACATTCGAATTCTCGAATTTTATCATTGGATTATTCGAATTGCTATTTGAATTATTCTTTTTCTCGTGCTTATTTGCTATATGTAATTCTAGACTACGTTGATATTTTGTTCTGTGACTGCAATATGGGCATTGAATGCTAGGTTCTCGACCACATTCGACCATCAAGTGCCTCTTAAGATGTTGCTTGTGTTTGTAGCATTTTCCACAGGTGAGACACAGGTTGACAGGCCCATCATTGCGCCTTCTGCGCCTAGGAAGACTTCCAAAGCTGAATGTGGGCATTGCATAATAGCCTAGAAATTGTAACAGAAAATACCAAATATGTGTTAATAATGTGACATATAATCCCAAATGTATGAATCGTTTACTACTTGACACCGACACTTAGATATCATACGCTTTGAATTTGTTTACATGCCTAAATATTTAAGAATCTGTGTCAAAATCTACCTAAAAAAATCAAGGTTGTTTGGCTAACGCGTTAATACCAAATAAAAAAAAAAACAAAAAAAACATTTTGAATTTCTGGTCTGAAAAATGTATAAAATGTCGAACATAAAGAATTAATAAAATTTCATTTTATTTTATCATTTATTATATTACTTAACAAGTAAGATACTTAGATACAACGTATACAAATTAATCATTAAAAATGTTGATATATTTTACAATTTATAATTTAGAAAGATGGCAGACTGAGGAGCCAACTCTCGGATAAAATAAAAATGTTATGGTAATGCTAATTTACAGGTCTATCTTCGTATGAGTTGGTAGTAACAAACTGCCAAAGAGTTGTTGTGCAATCAGGCGTTTTACATATAAAACCTGACGTATCTGTTATCAAAGAGATCAGAAAGTTGCACTTACAATAAAATTGTTATTTGATGTTTGTGCGTTTTGAAGATTAGGTTTTATGTATAAAACGCCTAATCGTACATCCAATGCATAGCCTGTTGAATACTATCAACTTATATGAAGATAGATCTGCAACAAAGCATGACCATAACATTTCTATTTTATCCGAGAATCGGCCCCTAAAATTTTGCATTAAAATTTATCATTAGCAAAATGATGAAAATTTTATTATAGAACAAAACAATGGATACTCATAACGAAATTAGTCGTAAACACTTACAAGTCTAATTATTCTGCATTCCTAAATTCCTTTAGAACGATGAAGTCATATTAAAAGAATTTTAGTTCAAGATGTTTGTTACCATTTTATTGACGAACTACAACTATTCAATATTTTTGTTATACTGTTAATTGTTACATAGACTCTTGGTGCAATAATAACAATAAAAAAGAAAGAAAATGATAGTTTATTCGCATATAAAAGGACGATTGAGGTTTTAGTTCTGAATCACCCCATCCACTTGTTGGTTCAGGTCTTAAAATTTAATACTATACAGAAAACTCTCTAGTCAAATAAATAATAAGTATCCTAACACATAATGAATATTATATTATATTAAAGAAAAATGTAATTAAATTGTACAAGTTGAACATGAGTGCAATGTACAAATAAATATTATATTATATTAAAGAAAAATTAAATTAAATTATACAAGTTGTACATGAGTGCAATGTACTACCAATTCTAGAATGTAAAATATAAATATTATACATATCTTACAAGAAATGTCTTGGAAGTCGCGAGTAAATAGATCTAAATTTATCACAATAAACAATAGTATATATTTCAACGTCAATAATCAATAAACAAATACATACAAAATCTTGTGAAGCTTCATCTTCGAAATAAATCCATAACTATAATCTTTATAATACAAATAAATTATTAATTAACTATGAAATGAGGCAATTAAGGAATGTACTTACAGTTTGCATGAAAATTATTCTTACAACTAAAGGGCATAAAATGCATACGAGAAAATGCTCGTAAGATACACGAAAAAAGGGAAATTGTGCACGTTATCGTAAAAACATCTATTATATATTTTAAACACTTATCACAAGCATGTTACTTTTGAGCTCATTCTGCCGCAAAATAGACCAATGTTATGGCAAGGCTATTGTATGTAATAATTTTCATACAAAATGGCACTAAATACTATCAAAATGCCTGTGCGATCAGGCGTTTTACACATAAAATGCAACTTCACTCGTATGATATTAAACCAAATTTTAAAATTTGGGCGTTTTCTAAGTAAGGTTTTCTATCTAAAATGCCTGACTGCACAGCAACTACATGGCTTCTGATAATATTTAGTACGATTTTGTATGAAAACTGCTACATGATATAGTTTTTAGCCACAACATTTCTCTATTTCCGGCAGAATCGCCCCTTTATTCGCTGATCAATGAATGATATATAAGCAACAAAAATTTACATATACCCTTTATATGCCCGAAGTGTTTTGCAAAGTAACATTGCGATTTAATTATTTGTATCATTAAATTTAATGCATAACCATTTAAAACAAAACAAATTTGTTTTTGATTAAGATATCATGCAATTTTGCCCAAGATGCTCCTCTCAGGTGAGTGAGAAGGGCGGTTCTTCCAAGCATTTGAGAAGTTCGGCATATTGGAAGTCTTTCTTGTGCCTGGCCTGGACATGTCCCAGCAGGCTGAACCTCTGCTTCGCCCGGTAGTCGCAGAATGGGCAGCCAAATGCAGGTCTCATACCACATTCGTACTTCATATGTCGCGAAAGTGTATGCCGGTACTTATATCGTCGTGAACAACGCTTGCAAGTGTGTTCATAATTCTGCCGAAAATCTGCAACATAATACAATAATCTATCCAAATTTCACACAAATTAATAAATGTTGTTCCGAAATGTTAAATATATGTACATAGATAATATTACTAACACTACAATCAAATACATTCATACGTATGTAAGGTGATCTGCATGCCAAAGTTGACTATATGCCAATTTGAAGCAAAATCAACCCTTACTTTAATAATTATCAAACATTGATTAGAAAATCAGCTTGAACATGTAATATATAGAGAAAATGAGCAAACATGCAAAACATAGAAAAAACTATGCCAAAATAATCAACTTACATGAACTGCTGTTCATTCATGAATGGACGATATGTAAATGGACAAGGATCAGTAAAAACATGTTTTATTGAGCTATTCAAATACACTGCTTCGGAGACTTTTCTCATTTAAAAACAGTCATGAGGATTCATTTTAATTTTAACTTATCATTTTGCTCCAAAACCAGCTTTAAAAATTATATTCACGTTTTATTTTTAACTTGAGGGTCCTATAAGCTGTTGTAATGATTTTAACTTACTACGTCGCTTTACAGAAGATAAACCCAATGGTTTGGCTATCTTTACTTTATTATTTGCTATTAAATTTTCTATATCACAGATGATTTTTTATTGATGCAACGATGTCACAAGGAATATTTTCACTTGGAAACATATTGATATCTATATTTCCTAATGAAAACCGAGTCACTACTGCTAGGCATCAGACTGTCCGTCGCGGGTATCATTGATGTAAAAATGCATATCCTAAATTAGCTAACCTTTACCTGAGAATTTACTATTGCAATTTCTACATCAATAATGAATTTTTTATTGATGCAGCAATGCCACAAGGATTACTTTCACTTGGAATCATATTTCTATCTATATTTCCAAATGAAAAGCGAGTCACTACTGCTTGACATCATGCTGTCCGTCGCAGGTATCATTAATGTAAATATGCATTTCGTAAATTAGCTCATCTTTACCTGAGTATTTGCGTTTACAAATTCTACGCTACTGATGGATAATTTCATTGACGCAGCAATGCCACTTGGAAATATATTGCTATCTATATTTCGAAATGAAAAACGAGTCACTACTGCTCGACATCATGTTGTCCGTCGCGGGTATCATTTATGTAAAAATTAATTTAGTAAATTAGCTTATCTTTTCTGAAAATTTGCTAATATAATTTTTACACCACTGATGAATTTTTGAGTGATGCAGCAATGTCACAAGGAATATTTTCATTTGGAAACATATTGCTATCTATATTCCCAAATGAAAATCGAGTCACTACTGCTTGACATCATGCTCTCCACCGAGGGTATCATATATGTAAAAATGCATTTAGTAAATTATATTATCTTTACCTGAGAATTTGCTATTACAATTTCTACACCACTGATGATTTTTTTTTATTGATGCAGCAATGCCACAAGGAGTTTTTTCACTTGGAAACATATTGCTATCTATATTTCCAAATGAAAAGCGAGTCACTACTTGACATCATGCTGTCCGCCACGGTTATTATTTATGTAAAAATGCATTTCCTAAATTAGCTGATCTTTAACTGAGAGTTTGCTATTACAATTACCACACGAATGATGATTTTTTTGTTGATGCAGCAATACCAGGCTGTTTTCACTTGGAAACATATTGCTATCTATATTTCCAAATAAAAACTGAGTCACTACTGCTCGGCATCATGTTGCCTGTGGCGGGTATCATTTATGTAAAAATGCATTTCCTAAATTAGATTATATTTACCAAAGAACTTGCTATTACAATTTCTACACCACTAATGAATTTTTCATTAATGCAGCAATGCCACAAGGAGTATTTTCACTTGGAAACATATTGCTATATACATTTCCAAATGAAATGCGAGTCACTACTGCTTGACGTCATGCTGTCCGTCGCGGGTATCATTTATGTAAAAATACATTTCCT